GAGTCCCACGCGAGGAAAGGTTATGTCCCCTATGTAATAACTGTGTTGGGGACGAATACCACTACTTATACCAATGTACTAATGTATCTGTTGTAGCTCTTAGACAACTTTATATACCAAATTATTATTATGTCAACCCAACTTATATCAAAATGAAAGGAATGTTCTCAATTTGTAACACGGTACTCTTAACAAAAGTAAGTAAATTTATACAAAGAGTAATGAAGCTACTTAATATCTAAAATAATTTAGCTAAAAGAATTATTGAAATGGGTTGTTATTGTATGAATTGTATCATGTGTCATATTATGTGAGTACTATGTCCATCAATGTATACTATTATTATGTGACCTCTTGTTACGCACGGATACGTGTGGCGTGAGTGTAACAATAAAACTTGAAACTTGTTAGTATTTGGTGCTGAGTGTTACAACCTAATGCGTAGGTCCTGTTCGTTTCTGACGCGGATTCGGGTCCGGCTTTCGAGGCAGGTTGTAGTCACAGGCACTTATGTTATCACAAATATTTAACCCAATTCATAAATACGGACGTAAATGGGAAGTCAAAATTTCCATTTCCACGAAAAAGGAGTATAGTACTTCATTGATATAGCAATACAAACAAGTATAATCCTAGTGAAGAGTGATTTCCAGACTGTTTACTGTATACGGATGTAAACAAGCCAGGCTGTATCAAATCAACCTTCTAAACAACTAGCTCAGATGTACAAGCTTGTTTGTACACGTAATCACAAACCTTACCAAAGACACTCATTAGCGATGATTTGTATATTGCTTGAAATAGTTTTCGTTAAAAACATTCTGGATGACATCATGACATTCATTTTTGTTTTATTTCTCAAATAGATCTATCAAAAATGAACTTTGATGTTTTTTTCTTTCACAAGAAATATTAAGCTCTTTTGCATATGATGTGATAATCACAATTTGCTAGCAAATATCCTGAGGCCACGATAATAATAATTTGAGGTTCTTATATATCGCCTTAACTCAACCTAGTTCGTAGGTCGTCTCAAAACGGTTCGCAAATTATTATCCTTGGTAATAGGGCCTTTGCAACCATACAATATCTATTTCAACTCTTTGACTCGAACCCAATACTGATTAATAGTATTTACCCAATTAGGGAGATTAACAACAAATAACACAGCACTGCACTTTAGATAAGAAATTCATTTAAATAAACTTTAACATCTGGATTGCACATGGTACGCAATTTGTCATACATCAAAACAAAAATTCGTATCATATAACATATTACAATGATGTCACTAAAAGGTATGAGTAGACATATTAAGATGGAATAGGCAATATACAGCACATTTCATACAAGTTAATGAGTGACGCAGAAGAGAAGGGTTATAATATTAACAAAACATGTGTGATTCCTAATGTTAAGAAATTGAATAAAACCAAAAACTAAAAAAAATATAAATGCGGGAAGGATATATCTGTGTTACAGTTTAATTTGAAAGCTGAATACGACTAATAAAATTAACTACATTCCCTAACTACATTGTATATGTGTCATCGCAGCAACAAAAAACCATTGTAACTCTGCTTCAATTGATCAAGTTGTAAATCAACACTGTAACAGTATAATGAGTTTATTGTGTTTTTTTTTTTTAATTTTGTTTATATTTTGATGCAGACACTTAGGTTTTGGAAAAAAAATATGCATTCAAACTGCTTTAAGGGACTTCTTTACATGAATTTAAATTATCCGTGGAATAAATATCTTTCAGAAGAATTTTATAAATCAACGTTCTCAAATGATACCCCTACAGTTAATACCAGAGCTCTAGAAATAAGTTTTTGTTTATGAAATATTTTACTTTTTTTTTATCAAATAAGGAAAAAACATCGTAATTCAAACGTTATAAGGCCGATAATATATGTAAACCGGACGATATTTGCAATAATATTTTAAATGTGTCGCCGTCATAATATCGTGCATTTCATTGATATTTAAATAAAAAGATTATGAAATGCTTTTACGCTAATTGAATAAAAAGATCCTCAAATCATTCAGACATTGTTTTCGAATTGAAAGTGGAACAGATTTGTTATCTCCCTTATCTCACTGAAATTCGAAAATTATCCCAAACGAAGAAAGACAACTCTTATAACTAGGCCTATAATGCATTAAACCAATTTTCTTACAATCTAGTACGAAATAAAATACAATAAAGTACAGTGTGTAATAATTGTAAAATGAACAAATACTTAGAACCAAGTTGTATAGCTTAATATATATGTTACTTCTATATTATTATGAAGTAATGCGTAGTTTGATTTTCGACAAAACTCTAAGGACTGCTTCTAACATACGTGTTTTTCAAAATGTCACTGTCAATTAATATTGAAAATTTTATCTTAGTTTAACTTACCAAAAATGACTGAACAAATGAGGTATCAACAAGATAATATTTTCACCTTCCAGTATCTGACCGTTAATTTATAAGTTAAATAAAACAAGTATATCCCCTTTTATGACAATGATTTGATAACTTTGCCTCATTATCTATATGAATCAAGTACTTGTGACATGACTACTTTACCAAAGGGCTGGCAGGATTTATTTCATTTTTTCTTAAGAATTCATCTATATTTATTACTATATAAATCGCAAAACCTCTTTGTACTGACGAAGACGAAATGGTAGCAGTATAACAAGGTTAACTTTGCTATTAGTCAATAAATATGAACTCGCTAATGAAATTCATTACATTAATCACAGTGATTTTAGTAATAAGTTACTGTTAAACCACAGGGCCCCGACAACAGAGCAGGACTTATAAATCACCAACCAACAATACGGAAGCGAACAACCAGTGATCATAAAGAATTCTAGTAAAGGGAGACGAACGCCATTGGCCATATTCTTGGCTGCGGAAACCGTCTAGGTTCGATCGTTTTAATTTAATTTTAAAATTTTAAATGTTCCGAAAATTAAAAAAAAAATCGAAATCAAAAGGAAATATTTAGAATTTCAAAATAAAATCGATCAGACCTAGATCTACGTTTCTTGCAGTGTGTGTCTTCTCTCAACATTGAATGCAATCTACATAAATTTACAAAAGAGTTGAAGTTGTTGCGTAGAAAACAGTTACCCTGAGTTAACACCTACGTTTTCAATGCGGGTGGGGGTTCACCTTGTCCCCAAGGTTGGTTTACTTATCAACTTTGAGTCCCGCTATTGTATTAAAGCTGCGGTTCATCATACGTTTAAATTATTAAAAAAATCTGTTTTAGCGAAAGGTAGGACATTTGTAGCGTTACAAGAGAAATTATTTGTACCTTTCCCTGGATGATATTTCGACACGTCATAACCTGCATACATCGAGGCCAATCATTCAATATTTACATTTGCATGGCATTGTCACTATATAGCCTCTTTGAAAGCTGTGTCGTTGATGGGACTTTAATTACCATGCATCACGAGACACAATTCTTAGCGTATTTTGATGAGGACTATTTAAGCATTGAACTGTTGATCTATTTGAATGACACAGCTTTGTAAGCAAACGACATAATGCGCGCTAGCTGTGTCATTCAAATTGATCATAAATACCATACAAAAACAGTTCAATACTTATATTTACGTTTTCTCTTCCTCTAATGTTCTTTTTTAACTTATAATTTATATTTAAAATTAAAAATGTCCGCCTTATCGACAGTCCACACAATTTCGTTCAATAGTTTGAACAGCGTATTGTCGCGTGCTGATTGGCAAACAAAGTAGTACTTTGAAATAACAAACACTTCAATTTTATTCCACAATTCAGTATCAGTACAATTGCTCGAATGCTCAAACACAGAGCTATTACGTGACCAGCTCTGGTGTGTACTCAGTACTGTAAAAGATATAGATTTTGTGTTTAATCTTAATGTTATGTCTAATTACCATCTGCTTCATGTTCTTCTTGGTGGTATTTTCAATTATGACTTATCTCCATATGAACTGGATGACTTTAGAATAAAATCTATCGTTATTATTACTAAAATTCTTCAATACAGTGGCATTATGTAATTTATCCTTAGATATTTGAATGTTGAATACTGAGTAATATGATCACTATTTTACGTGTGTGTACCTCACGCTTCAGCAAGATGAATACATGAAATACATATATTTCTGTATTCATATTAGTAGGCAAGCATTTCCTACGTCTTTCCTGTTGATTAGTGCAACTTACTACCATTCATAATATTGTTTGTATTGTATGAATTAATCTTGTGAGATGTATTACTACAACTGAAATCATTGTATGGTTGCGCTGTTTCTTCAAGTTAATTATTATATTGTATGTTGTGTATTTCACACCACTGTATGACTATGTTGTATGACTTCGTGCAACGGGTTCTACTCAATGTATGATTGTATTGTAAGACTTATGTAACAGTAATACTGTCTATAATAATGCTGTATAATTTATAGTGTGATGCTTGTAATACTGTTTATTACAATGTTGTATGATTGCTTAGTA